TGTTGGGGTAGGGAATTTTCTCTTTGTGAACGCACTGGTTCAAAAACGGAAGACATGCCCAAAATCCTCTCAAATACTCTTAAGGTACAAAAAACCTTAAGAGATATGCACCGAACTTTAATTGAGGCGATATCTGCCGAGGGAGGTGGGACACTGTCAAAACCGGTTCTTCAAGCGGGAACCAAATTATTGATGCCCGGATTTCTTTCGTCACACTTTTTTATTCGCGCAATACTTATTATCTACATTGGAAGTGGATTTTATGCATCCGTGAATTTAGCTGATGTCTACATTCCAACGAAATATCAAGAACTCGAGTTTATCATTAAAATATCACGGACTATGCTCCAAATCAAGGTAAAGTGACATTTAAACAATATTTGTAATTTCTTAAATCTTATTTTGCACTTACTTGATTTGTTCTTGCAGAAATTATTATCAGTTACTATTTCTCGGTTTAAGCAAATGAAAAGCAGAGCTGAAAGAGAGAAATTTGCACCCGGAAAAGTAACCATACCTGCTAGACAGGAGGAGTACAGATCATTCCAAAAACCAAAGGTTCCGAAAACAAAAGGTCTGTGACAAATTCGTTGAAATATTGTATTTAACTTAACATCACTGATTGAGATATACTATTCTTTTTCAGATCACCTAGAACCCGATGACAGCCATATATAATTGTTAATGAATAATATTCCCATCTTTATTCAAAATTAAGCGATTGAGTAGTACAATTAAGATATTTCTTGTGTTGGTTTACGTAGTAATAATCTTCGGTCTGTGAATGATTTTTATCAATGTGTCATATAATATCATAGCAATTATATAATTTAACAAATAAAGGTTTGCCTGAATCGGGTTTTATAAATGTGTGCGCATTGAAGAAATAAAGTCTGTACATTTCGCCCAAATCATGTTTCTAATTGATCGATTGCATACACTTCCGTGAAACTATTAATATAAAACCAATTCGATTCAAGTTTACCTAAGAACAGTTAAAATTTAATTTGTTGGGATATCACTACTCGGGAAATAAAATTTATTATAATTCAACCATAGTTACTATGCAAAATTTGCTCGTCTCAAGTTAAGCGATTTTATTCATTTGATTTTTTTAACGACGGGCCGTCGCCGAAATTTTTATTACTACACATTTAAATAAACAATCGAGTATATACAATCTATTACTAAACATGCAATCCGAGATTGATTCATTGAGACAACGAATTTCTGAGCTTGAAGCCGAAAAGGTTGAGCTTGAAACCAAGAATGCCGAGCTTTTAAAACAGGTTACGGAAGAGAGCACCAAACGCGAAGCTGAGAATGTTGAGCTCAAAGCCAGGATCGCCAAATTGGAACAGACCGCAGAAGAAAATACTGAGCTTAAAAATAGAATCACGAAATTGGAACAGAAACAGACGCAAGCTATTACTA